TTTATCTTACCTACTTTAATACAATAAACCTTGAAAATGAAGTCTCGATGGATTTGTTACAATTAGAGTAGATAATGAAAAAAAATGTGCGAAGTTTATCCTACCTACTTTAATACAATAAAACTTGAAAACGAAAAACTATTTAAATGTGGTAGGTGTATATTTTTGAATACTGCTCGATCAGTTCAAACAGATTTTTTGCATTTCTTCTGCTAATGTAAGCTTACTCAAAATATAACATGATAATCTTGTAATTGTGAATAAGACTAATATATATTGGAAATTTGATTGCAATACAAGAAGTCTTTTGGAAATAAGACTAAAAAGTAACATAGTGATATTTAGTATTTTCAAACTTATGCGACACATGGGCTAAAGAGTAAGGATCAGAGACCTCAAAGATTAGGCATATCCAACCCCGATTTAGAACTGCTGATCAGAGGAAGGCTGCAAATCGGCAGAATCCGCCGTCTACGTGGTTGGTTTTAAACGAATAACACGATTGGCTGTCACAGTTTCAGCCTCTACACAGTTGAAGTGCGGAAAGCGTTCGGTGTTATATGGGGGCTCAAACCTCGAACTCAAACGAGTTATCATGTTTCTTATCGAAACTACATGACTTGCGTGTTTCTCCTTCTGTCCGCTTACACCTAATGTGTTAAGGACAAATGAGAAATAAGGGATCTGATGTGATTTGTTTGTTTGTTTGTTGTAAAGCACAAAGCTGCACAATGGACCATCTGTGCCGTGCCCACTGCAAATATCGAACATCGATTTTTAGGGTCATAAGTTCCCAAGCTAATCGCTAAACCACACACACACACACACACACAAAATGTGTATGAGCCCGGTTATAACATGTCGGGATAATTGTGATGTAACAGTACGCGCGCGCGCGCGTGTGTGTGTGTGGCACAGAAAGTGCATGTTCATAGTTAAGACAAGATTTCTGTTGAGAAAGATTAAAATTTACACAGATAGTGCATTCGAAACGGACTCCAGAGGAAGTTGTGATCGTGAATTTAAGTGTTTATAAGTTTTAATAAGACAGTACAACAGCAAACCTGAATGAGTTTTCAAAGAAAGTTGGGCTGTGTATGAAATTGCCCATATTTTTACTAATGATGTTGTATATTGCGGTAATTTTATCTACAAAACTGCAGGATATGTATATATATACTAGATACAGGGTCCCCGAAAGTGTTCTGTTTCAAGAGCAAATAATATTTCAAGAGTATTGCTTGTTTGTTTGTTTCCGAATTTCGCGCAAAGTTACACGTGGGCTATCTGAGCTAGCCGTCCCTAATTTAGCAGTGTAAGAATAGAGAGACGGTCGGTGGGTGGTGATGACTAGCTCCAACTCTTGGGCTACTCTTTTACCAACGAATAGTGGGATTGACCGTCACATTATAACGCCCTCACGGCTGAAAGGTGCGATCATGTTTGGTGTGACGGGGATAAAATTTACTGAAAGAACATTTTTATTTAGAATGTTTTTATGTTATTTACTTCTTTATACCACCCACCGCCAACTGTGGGATTGACCGTCACATTATAACGCCCTCACGGCTGAAAGGGGCGATCATGTTTGGTGTGACGGGGATAAAATTTACTGAAAGAACATTTTTATTTAGAATGTTTTTATGTTATTTAAGGTGTGTGGTATAAAGAAGCCAACTCTTGGGCTACTCTTTTACCAACGAATAGTAAGACTGACCGTCACATTATAACTCCCCCACGGCTGAAATGGTGAGCATGTTTGGTGGAACGGGGATTCGAACCCGCGACCTGCAGATTGCGAGTCAAGCGCCCTAACCACCTGGCCATGCCGGGCATTTCAAGAGTAAATAATACCAAAATTAAGGTAAAAAAATTCTTATTTCTTGCTTTTGAAGTTCATATGTCATGCTCTGTTTTAGCCTACAGAGTGCATAATTCTTCTCGACATTAATAGCATGCGCATGTTTTACTGACATCACGACAGTACAAAGTGTAATGTTAATCGTCCCTTATGTGACGTCATTTTAGTGTCTACTGACTGACAGACAACATACTACTGTATAGTGGTGCGAGTGGTTAAAATAGGTAATCCCTCCACGCGGATTTTAGTCCCCTTTAAGGGACATTAATGCTAAATATTAAATGTAGATTATGCATATTTATTCCAATCAGTAATTCTTATTAATAAATGTAGTCGTTTCGTTAATTAAGTATCTAGATATCAAATTTAAATAATTTGCCGTAGAGTTTTATACTAGATTAAACAAATAACGTATTTCCCCAACCTGAGAAATTCGAATTTTTTTAAAAAAATCTATTAAATTCTACACATCTGTCGGACCACAAGTTATCTATTAGGAAACGCTGAGGTCTTTAGATGCACATCTAAAGTTTCACATGAAGTTCAATTTAACGTAGCTAAGATACACATCTTCAAAACACATGACTTTTTTTTTCCATAAAATTGTACTTACACCTGCCGACACAATTATCTCTTTTTGATAAATTGATTTTTCTGTTGGTAGATAATACCGTCACCCAGACTAGAACGTTTGATTTCCAAGTAGAGATGGACGAGGTCCCCAGGGGAGGGGGGGATGAACGAATCGCTTATAAACTATCTTAAGGAATCGGGATTGAATAAAAACCCAGCACAGCAAGTAATTCCTATATTTCTATCTCGAAACGTTTCTTTAGAGTGGCGAGCTTTACTTTTTTTGAAGCATGATAAGTGAATTTTTTACAATATTTTCTATTTTTCAGTGCTAAGTGAATTTTTAGTTGTTTTTTTTCTTTTTCGTGAGGGTTTTTAAGTTTAATTTATAATATTTTCTATTTTTCAGTGCTAAGTGAATTTTTAGTTGTTTTTTTTTCGTGAGGGTTTTTAAGTTTAATTTATAATCTTTTCTATTTTTCAGTGCTAAGTGAATTTTTAGTTGTTTTTTTTTCTTTTTCGTGAAGGTTTTTAAGTTTGCTAAGTGAATTTTTAGTTGTTTTTTTTTCTTTTTCGTGAGGGTTTTTAAGTTTAATTTCAAGACATTTCGAGTGATAATTTGCAGCCTAACATATTTTTCGGAAAAGGCTTTTGAAGTTAAGATTACGCTATTGGGATGGTTATTTTTCTATTATTATTTACAACATTAATTATACAGTTGAGTAAGTACAAAGTGTTATTGTTTATTTGCCTGGGTGATATAAGCTTAGCTTCAGATGTAACATGGCAACACGGAAAAGAAAGCTTTTGGATAAGTTTCCAAAACGAAATTCATATGTTACTTTTTTAATCACCACCACCTAAAAGTCATGGCCTCCAGTGGTTCAGCGGTAAGTTTGAAGGCTCTTAACGCAAAAAATTGGGTTTCGATACCCGTGGTTGGCACAGCACAGATAACCCATTGCGAAGTTTGTGCTTAACGACGAACAAATAAACTAAAAATCACTGAGGCTAATTAAATGTTTGTTATATTTCCCAATTAGTCAGTGGGCTTATAACTCTAAAAATCGGGTTTTGATATCCGCGGTGGACAGAGCCAGATAGCCCAATCTGTAACTTTGCGCTAAAACAACCAAACTCTAATAACATACGAGTCTGTTTGTTTGTTCATCAGGATCATCTAGAAAGAGATTTGAAACAAGCAGTACTTCAGTCGTGGTGAACAAAGTGTGGCATCTTGTAACAGATGAGAATACACGAACACAAATGTCAAAAGCCAAATCTACCCACGTGCCCTAGGTAACAGTATGCAATATAATAAAAAAACGATCTCCTTCTATAAATGAGATATGGGTTTACCAAGATAAAGCTTCCATTCATACCTCCCTTTCAATCGTCAAATACCTCAACGGCAGGACGATCGGACTGTTAATACGAGTGATTGAAAATCGTCGTTTTCTGACAGTAGATGGATTATGGATAGCTTGCAGGAAGGAGTGGTGTGATTTGACGGATTCTTTTTGCAATTGAAACTACGCTGCAGAGCTATTGTCAAGACAAACGGTTGTCAAATAGAGCTGGACTGGACGTGGCGACGTTGACTGTAAAGACGAGGAGGGACATCAAAATCGTTTTAATATAACGTAATAAACCCTCTGAGAGTGTAATAGATGGCAAACTGCAGTCCACATGAGTAAATTTTTATCTATCGTTATTTAGATTTATGCCATGAAACATGGACTAAGCCTAATATCGTGATCGGCCTTACAGTGGATATGATGTTTTTAAGCAATTAAAATAACGTACTCACCAGTGGAATTCTCATATATTGATACGTAGATTAAAAGTTTATTCATCATAAGCCTGTTCTCTGAATGTTGTATTATTAAACTGTTATTCTAGCTCTTGGAATCTCAATGGATATAATTTAGAATTAAAGACGTTATTTATAATATTTAAATTTCGAATGATATTCAACTATAAATTGAAGCATTTCTTTATCATTATAAAGACCTATATATTGTAAGCATTTTAAGGATTTTCTAAATTTCTTGGACTTGCTTGCTTGTTTCTTTCTTCCCTAATTTTGAACTGATAAACCAGAGAGAAGGCAACAAGTCAACTACTTTTTCACCAACGAATAGTGGGATTGACCGTCACATTATAACGGATGAAAGGGCGAACACGTTCGGTGACGAGGATTCGAACCTGCGACCGGCAGGTTACGACTCGAGTGTCCTAAGCACCGAACTATGCTAAGTCTCGAAGTTCGTAGGCCATGCAGTTCATTTTAAATCAAAATGATAAAGGTATAGCGTGTGTAATTTAGGAGTTATTAATGATAAGGAATTAAAAGTAATTTTAGAAAAATGTACTAAATTTAGAATTTTAAGAAAGACAGAAAATGAAATATTTAGTTAGAAAGACTTTGTTTGTTTGTAATTAAGCACAAAGCT